GCACACACACACACATACACATACCGATGAACGACGAGATATGTCTTAGACATTTATCAATTTAAAAAAATTATATAAGATATATCTTGTTGACATTATTTGTATAAAACGCGCAATCGCGTGTCTATAATACAAGTAGATTTAACTTCGCAATCAGTAGTTTTTTAATTCGCTTAAAAAAAAAGCAACTTCAAATCAGCCACTCAATTAATATGGAACTAACAATGGACTTAACCTGTATAAATCACAAAATAATTTGTAAATAAAAATTCAGAATAAAAATAAAAATCAAAGAAACTAGAGGTGTTTCAGTTAAAGAATTTGAAATAACTTTTCAAACTCACTTCAAAATGGGTTTATGCAAGTCTAGATTTTTACCTGCTACTCCATACTCGTGGATATCAGGAATAGGAACATTTTTAAATGGCATATCAAGATAAAACATATACCAGATTTTAAGTTAAACCTTCATATATACAATTATAAAAACCGCATGTAATTTCGTAAAGAAGTTTTTGCGTGATACCGGTATTAAACATAGAGACAGACAACATGTCTAAGGGGGGAAAGGAATTGTTAGCAATGGAGTTTGACAGCCCCATTGTTAGCAATTTGCCCTATTAAGTCGACCTCCACGTGGTTCCCTCTGGAAACCATCGTGAACAATTCTTATTGAATTCGTACGATGGGCTAACTGACCTATATCATCCTCACCTATCATTCTTTACTGGTGCCCCGCCGGTGTATACCGATAGCGCGGGTGGGGTTACCATTCCATTATCATCCATTAAAAAAAACAGACAACATTTTTAAAAAATATTGTTTTAATATTAAAACCGCTCTCATCAATCTATTAAATATTCGGTATCTCCCATGTGCAAACAGCGTCAAATTTAAATTTTATTATATTAACAAAATAAGACAAAACAGAAATTATATGATCACGATTATTAACCGGAGACGTATATAATGTATTTAGAAAATTATACAATATCGAAAAATAGTAAGCAACTACTATCTTCATCATTCCACTACAAGTATCTTTGTAATCTAATATGTTGACGCAATTTTATGGAATTTCATTGCCAGGACGCGTATTTGATTGACTCAGTTTTTTTTACAGATAATAAATAATCTTTTTGGCTACAAGTATCAATTTAGCTTTATTATAGCCTTTAGCTATGGTAGTAGGTACAGTAATTTAATTTTAGTTCAAATGAGTATGTCATATTTTTTCATGCTGCTAGCTATACTTAAATGGGTGTATTTATTGCCTTATAAATGACCTAATTGCATTATTTATTTTCGTTTTATGTTGACATGCGCTTAATAATAAATAGCAATTTCATAATCTACATACATATATACTACCTATCTATATATCATCACGCTAAATTAACTACCTTACCTAATAATTTCATACGTACATAACTGTCAATATTAAAATATTTTTTCATTCGTTTGAACCAAGATATTTTAAAACTGTGTTGAATTTATATTAAATGATTAAATATATACAGGCGTGGGATAACAGAAAATTTATTATAAAGTAAATAGTAAGTTGGTACAAACGTGTTAGGTTACCATTGTGGTCCTAGAATAAAATGGGTCACCCCTTCCTTTCCCATAAATGTCGTAACCAAGGGATATTAATGGTTGAGGGAAGTGAAGCAGCGTCCCTTCAAAAACATCACCAAAGCCTAACTGCGGTTGCCTGCCAAACGTGGCGACCACGCGTAAAACTCGCCCTTATGGAGCAGGCTTATGTTTAGCAATGGACATTTAATAACTGATATAATTAAAAATATAGAAAAACAAAGGGCAGCATGCACAAATACACTATGTCGTAATGCATAATTGTTCTTCCAATGCTTATAATGTATATAAATTATGGTAAGGAGGCAGACATTGTTATGTTTATTTCTCACAAACATAAATCTATTACTCTCAATGATTTAGCGCGATAGACACGTGTGAACTTCCCTGAATAAAGGCCCGAATCCACTAACCCACATCAACAACATACAGTAACGAGCTACAATGATCGCAATCGTTTCAACCGCAACGTAAGGGTGAATTTAGACTAAGACTGTACAGGGGAAAAGGGTTTGGTAATAACATCATAATTGCTGACAATATACTATGCCAGGTCTAAACCATCCCAACTGGAATCCCGTTAGTGGAAACGAATTTAGAACAAATAACGCAAAAAATATATATCTCAAAGGGTCGCATCTTTTCTTTTTTATGGCGGTCATTATTAATTTTATTATTATTTGTAACTTAGCTAACTTTTGCCATAAATGACATCGGAGCTGAGATAATTGACTTTAAAATACTACAATTTTGTACATCATAGTTATGGAAATTAACACATTACTTATTAGTAAACAAAAAAGGACCATTTAAAAAAATATTCTTAGTACATGTTCACATTTAAGAAAACTCAAAATATTATGAGAATATTGACAGAGCATTCGCTATTAGTTTAAATCCATCATCACACACGAATTGTTAAAATGTTTCGGTCATTAGAGTCCAATAAAATAAATCTGTCGGGCCTTCAATCTCAATTTCAAGCCGTTGCTTGCTTATCGATAGTGCATTTAAAATTTCATATAACATCTCTTACTCAGATACATCGTAAATGCATCTAAATATGTGGAAATATTCGCATGATTTAAATTTAAATAGTTAAGTGCTCATTAACCTTTAACAATGACTTATCTTTATTGTAACTAATATTGCAAAATACCACAAAAATCTGAGTGACGATGGCAAGATCGCCTTGAATTAAAATTATCGTCGTTTTGAATTCAAATATTTTAACAATAAAAAATATTTGAATTCAAAACAAAAGGCGACCTTTCCTTTTCTCGAAAGGCAACCTGTTAATATGTTTGCTAAAACCAGCTCACACTGCAAAAATTAACTTTCTTATGACTACTCCATATCATATTATAACAGTGAGAAATTCATTTTATTTTATATTTTATACCTATATTTCATCTATCAATAAATATTACTGATAATTTAAAAAAATAATTTATGAAACGAACCGATTCCAATTTTCACAAAATTACTATGTGATCAACACGTAGTTTCGTGTTTGTCACATAGCCTTTTAAATAAAAAAGGAATGATCAAAATAAGGTTACAATTTTTTAACCTATATATGATAAACATAAAATATCTAAATAAGTACTGTCTCTTTTTGTAAATATGTTAAAAATAAATATATTTAAACTTAGACTGTTTGCAAATGTAATAGAAATTACACAACACACAATACTAATTTTAATTGTTTGTAGTATTCAAAAATAATTAACTTTTAAATGTTACGAAATATTAAATACATAATGGAGTGTAGGTATCGTTTTTAATTTACTGTCGAAGTCTATTGATTGGAAATTAAAAACTCAATACACAGTGATTCATAATTTACAACATGCTTACATAACAATGTTTATAAATAATGGCACAAAGGCAATTCAGAATGGTTCTGTTTATAGTGTTCCAAATTTAAATTTCAACCACACTGGCATACATATAAGCACGACGAACCTTTATTTTATAATAAAAAAAATAAATGTTTTCTTTAATTGAACAATAATATATCAAAACACTTAGCAATACAATTATTTGTAAAAACATTTTTTTTATTCTTGTAACCCGTTAATTCAATCTACGACTACTTCACGCAATTAATTGGACTATCCGATATTATCTCTAGAAAAATTAAAGAATTTTAAAATTACAGAAATTGGTCAATTTGTTGAAATTTTTCTTATGTGTTATTGATTACACTATATTATTATTAATTCTAAACCAATTTTCATGAATTTTCATTTTGCATTCTTCTGTTGATCCTTTGAATTGTAATGATTCAGTGATTTTTTTCTGCGAAGCCCACTCTAATAACACATATCACTTCAGTTTGGATATATTAAACATCTACTCGCAATATCATCAATGTAAAAAAAACATAAAAAGTTTCCTGAATGGAAGCCACTTCACTTTTTTTATTCACAATCGAGAATTAACGCTACACGATTACAGATTAAATATTAAAACAATAAAAATGATGTATAGCGTACGCAAGACGTAAGATAGGTAAGAAGTTATACTGAATAAAAAAATATATAAATATGCTCACGACCATAATCCCTGATGTTGAAGACAGAAGTATTTGTGAACTGTTGTTGTTGTGGAGAACGTAACATGCGAGAGGCAATATGAATTATAAATAAAAACATTTATACACCTTATGCTATATAAAAGTCACATATATAAACACGTTTGATTGACAAGTATTTATTTACTCTTTTGCGCACTATAAAATGCATAAAAATCACATTTATTACATTTGATTGATGTATATATATTTATTCTTTTATGTAGTATAAAAATTGTACAGTACGTACTTAAAAGCGTTTATACCTAATCATACCAAAGTGCGGTACTGGTATTTCCAAACTTTAGTAACATGCATATGAATTCTCTTAATAGTTTATAGCCTTCTCTATCAGACAACCATACTATAGGCTGTTTTAATTTTCTTACCGAACACATAATAAAAAATGTTGTCGATTGATGGATGTGGAGTTTTACCGGAGACCAATAATGTTATTTTATATTTAAATATTTTATTACATACAATGTTACAGAGATTATTTTAGTGACAAGACAAAAGTATTTATTTTTCTAATTAATTGAGCTGTAGGTGTGTACAACCTCTTTCTTACATCGATATTATTACAAAAACCCTATCTAAATTAATTTAGTGACAAATCTAAAAATCAATTAATTGATTTTGTATTTACACTATTGGAGTTTTAACTTCAACTGACAATTATTTGTTTAGTTACATTTTTAATAATTCCTATTGAAAAAAACTAAAACATGTGTCATAAGTAATAGTAGAATATAGAGACGATAGTAGGACTTTTAATACTACAGAAGAAATACATATTTTATAAATTATTATAAAATCCACTTACCACATTGATCTTTCCGAGGATGTGATTAATTTGATCCTTGCTGCACATTGTGATAGTCCTCGTATTCACTTCCTTTCAATTCACATTATATCACTGAACATTTTGCAATTAATTTTACATGTCTTTGTAAAACTGTTTAACAATGTGCGCTCATTATCTTCAAGGCCTTACGAACTAAGAACATAGTAAATTATATTTGTTACTTTACATTATAACTAGACATTTTATTAATAAAATAAAAACAGAATAAAAGGAATATCGTGTATAAAATAAAAAAAAAAGAAATGAAAAAAGCACTTAGTGAGCCTGCATAATGCTGTCAACCGTTAAGAGTAAATCTTTTTTCGATTGGTCGTATTTATGGACCATATAGTCTTTGTTCGCTCAAGATGGTGTGGTCAAATGTCGTGCTATATTAAAAAAAAAGGTCGTAAAAAATCCTCGAAATGCAAGTAAGGACGACATCAATACAAAATCCTACAATAAGTATTATAAAGGTAAACGTGTTTGGATATTACGGTGTTCGTAGATCTGTTACCCAATCACCTATATGACTAAGCTTTGATATCAATCTTAGATTAACGTATATGACACTTTGATAGCAATTCACGTGAGCAAAGTCACAGGCTATAATTAAACTACGTGTAACAAAACCTATCAACGCCTTGTTAAGTTGATAACAATCAAAAGAATCTGTCTGTCCAGCACCAATTAATAGCATAATGAAAATTACGAAATGAAGTTACAAAATAAAGTTGCAATACGTATTCCAATTAATTTTGACTATTTATAATATAACAAATTAGATGGATATTTAAGATAAAAAATAACGCGATATATATACTTAAAATAAAATTTAAAATATACAATCAAATCATAGACCTTTTTTCTGGAGTCATTTGATAGGAGACTCTCATTCTTTTACTTCTCAATTACATGAACATAAATAAAAATAATCCAATGATAAAAAGAATGTGGTATCTAAAAATAATTCGCCCATTATACGTTTTGCATATTCAAGGTGTTACGGCTCGGAAACGACAATTAGTTACCTCACTATAATGAATATTGATGAAAGGTTACGAAACTGTAACCAAGTGAAATGTTGATCAATTAATCTTTACTGAAATGAAATGAAATGAAATAAAATTATCACTTAGGATTTAAGAGTTTATAAATCAAAGAAAATATTATATAGTGTAAGAAAATGATGTATAGATAGACAGAATAAAATTTAAGATTGTGTTCCATAAAAAAGATCAACATTAATTGTAACAAAACCAGTTTTTTTTATTTCACAACTAAACGATTGAACCAATTTTGATAAAATTTCTATGGGACTAATCTGGTGGTGACATATAAAGACAAAAAAGAATTTTCCAAACCAGTTTGTAACTGACAAAGTTATGAGGTAACAAACTTTAAAAAGAAACCGAATTAAGAATATCCTTCTTATTGACGTCGGTTAAAGATTACTCTAACTATAAAAAAACCTACTCCTGTACCACTGTATTAAACTGACTAAAAATAAGCTCACCTTTGATCACATTGTCTTAATTTCATTTTTTACTATTTTATATACATTTATATATAGATTCTGAATACAATAAAGAATATACTTAAGAATCAAGTAAAGTATATAACGCTAAAACATTTTCCTACTCCTACACTATTAGCCGTATGCAAAAGTTTTAACTTGATCAACGAAGCTATGAAGAGGGCTATAGTCGGTATTTTGTTGCGTAATAGAATTCGAAATGAGGATATCCGCAGAAGAATCTATATAAAATAAACATACTATGGTGACAAAAATAAATCGACGCTATGAACCTTCACACAAGAGTTTTAAAATACCGTACTTACAAAATAATTACTGTAACAATCATATATAATTATAATAATAATTAACTTTTACCCGCGACTTCGTCCGTGTGACCAGGATATATTTACTGACCGAAATAAAATGTAGCCTATCTATCCTTCTGAATTCCAAATACGTGTGAATCAAATTTCATAGATTGATTAAGCGCTATAGGGTAACAAGTAAACAAACTCAATTTCCTTTTATAATATTAGTAAAGACGAGAGCAACACATCTACACCAATTGCCTGTTCTCTAAGTTAGCTTATACACAATGCTATATGCTGTGTTATGAGAAATACGAGTTTTACACATTTAGGAATTACAATATTCATGACAGACTTTTACAGAAATTTGACATCTTTTACAGTCGATAAAGATACGAAAATGCCAAGTAATGTCAAGGTTATACAAAGGTTTTTCAAACGGATTTCCGCAAATACAATTCTTTGGACAATCACTAGAATAATCATGGCAGACACCATACAAAACTACCATTGAAAAACCGATGAAACACATCGAGACATTTTTAAAATTAAGGATAGTAATTTTATAAAATTTTAATCATTTTAATCGGAAAATTGTTTTCTGAAAGGATTAACTAAAAACTAAAAGTATGTTAAATCAAAACTTAGTAATTGCCAATATTTATTTTCATACATATGTTGATATCATTATATAGGTAATCATCATCATCATATCAGCCGTTAACTGTCCACTGCTGAACAGAGGCCTCCCACTGTTGGGGGTTTTGCCTGTAGTTGCCAAGCTTGGCAGGCTGGTTGGCAACCGCAGTTAAGTTTTTGTGATATTCAAATAAGAACGCTGCTATCCATCTTTCGATCATTAAGTTCCCTTAGTCGCCTTTTACGACATCCACTGGAAAGGATTCTTACTAAAATTCCAAATGTGAAGTGAATTTGTATGTTCATTTGTTAGATTGTTTGTTACTTGTTCGTGCTTTAATGGCTCAAGCAATCATTGTAAAAGGCATAGATGTAGTGGGTATATGGTAGGAAAAAGGCCATAGGTTATTTTTATTCCGGTCACGCAGACAAAGACTTTTAAAAAACTTGTCTTATGTGACCTATCAACAAAAAGTGTAAATCGTCGATGGTAAACGTTTTAAATTTCGAATAAGATGGGAAGATAATATTAAACATATGTAGGTATAAAAACGTCAAATACTATCTTGTTGATAATGCAATTTCAAAAGGCTATATAAGTAACATCATCAAAGACCGTCTTTAGTTATTTTTTAAAATATAATTCTACACAAATACATATGTATGTACATGTCCAACTTAACAAACATCTGTACGAACAATACAAACTGCTTTCATTACCACTGTTAGATAACAGATCAATGTGTATAACTTTAAAAAAAAAAGTAGAAGCATTCAGATTGTTATCGGTGTTACAAAATATTTCATTAAATAGATCAATAGACGCCTCTGGCAGAGTGTAAAGAATGTATTCTTATACAATGGCCAGAGATATTCATTTGCATCGCCACTACAATCGCTTGAGCAGGCACGTCACCGTTTTTTTTACACATTCCATTAAAAACGAGAGTGATCTCGATATCAGTGTTGTCTGATTGGGTATTCTTTTCGCAATCCTAGGTAAAAGTTTATCTATTGGAGAAATTGAATAAATAATTGGTGAAAAAATTGCCATAACGAATTTTGGATAATTAAGTTTTGGCACATCTATACTCATATGTAATAAAATTACATTAATATTGTCAGTGGTGTTTTTTATGTAATAGTAATGTTTACTTTGTGAAATGTGTTAAAATAGACTCGACTGTACAAAATCTTAGTATTTTAATTTCAAATTGAGAAAAAAAAGACGGCATCTGATAACCCTGATCAATATGAAAGGACCCCATTACCAATGAGCACAGATGAGCAATTTCATGGCTTTTGGCAAAAGCATTTTTAAATTAATACTATTGTGTATTGGGACGTAGCTAGCTTTCACCACAATAAAATTCTATGAATGATCCACGTATTTACAGCTTACACAATGTTTCGTTTAATGTCGTTTTCTACGATGCAATTGCTAATTTTAACGGGTACTCGATGGACAATATATCTAATGCTATATCGTCAGAAAAAAAAAGAAAGAAAAAATTTTTAAAAGTAACGACATAAAGTATATTTAAAGGTTTTTGTAATTAATTAAAAAATTCAATCGTGACATAAATTGGTACAGAAGTAAACTTTATTTAAAGTGTAAAATTGATCTAAATAGAGCGATGATGTCGTTTAACGTACACATAAAAATACAAACGAATTGAGAATCTCCTCCTTTTTCGCTTAAAAACATAAATTACATAGCACTTAAGAGACAATAGATTCCTCACTTAGCATACTCGTAAGTTGTTACAGAATAATTCTGGTATATTGCAGTAGCGCAGTTTCCGCTCTAAGTAACGTCACGGATCCACACCAAAGACTATTATACTAAATATCTTTTTTAGACAAAGCAGTGTCTTAATGGACTATTAATTTTGAATTTAAGTACACAGTTTACGTGGGTATAATTGTACGTCAGCAATATGCAAGTTAACTCATTTCCTCGGTACGTTAATTAACTAACTTGTTTGAAGTTCACTTTCACCATCGCCCAGTATGGATGCGCGCGAGAATTTTGTTTTGCCGGCCATACTTGTTCTTAAACGTCTTCATTAATGTACCCTTCCTTATATTGACCAAGACATAATGTATATATATAGTTAAGCTATATATATATATATATATATATATATATATATATATATATATATATATATATATATATATATATATATATATATATATATATATATATATATATATATATATATATATATATATTGACATTTTATCGAGTGATTAATAACTAAGCAATATACAGACGATATCAGTTTTATTACTTATTTATGTTCTTTTTTGTGCAGTTTTCTTTTTTTTTTATTTTTATGTGTGTGCCAGGATTACAAGCTATTTATTTATCTGTTGATTTTAATAATACCGAACATGCTATAGACTTAAGTAGGTATATGAAATACATGTATACTTTCCATTACCATTTTTTGCTTAAAGCAAATGAAAAGCGTCTACGTACAAAGATTAAGGTTAATTATAAAAAATTAATTTCGATTCAAACTGACGAAGTTTCTATTCATATAAAAACTGACTGTTAATATTGCCCTATATAATTATAATTTCTCTTGATAAATTTCTATACATATTTGTTTCGATTAAATTTGTTTAGTTAAAGTCCGTAAACTGGACTGAAAAATTAATTTTATTATTCACCCTACACGCATATTATTCTAACATTACACTACAAATGTTCTACCTACATGAAGAAAAATATATAAAAATGTTTAAACAATAATATAACATATTATTTTAAAATCGATTTTATGAGTAAAGAGGTTAGCTATCATTAGAAATAACTCGTGCAAAATCATAGCATCGTATGTAGAGAAAAAGTAAGTCATTTTGTTTTTATATACTTATTAATTTCATATACATATTTAATACTTAAAAGTTCAGATTTTTTTTTTAAATATAACTTCTGAAATTCTTACAGACACTAAATATGTGTAATGATTTATGATGATAATAACTTCTGACATCACACATGGTTAATGTCTGCAAAGTTCTTCTTAAAATTACGGTGAATGCATTCAAAAATATATTTCAATACAATTTTCCAGTACTTTTTTCTGTGTTACTTAATCTACTCTGATTCTAAACCGCTTTTGAATTCAATAAAATTTATTCCCGTGTTGATCTCGTATGTATACATTAGTTACAACAGAAGTATTTTGTACCTATTACACCAATATTAAATAATTGATGATTATACATATTTTATCGTAACAACTAGGTCGTATTTTTAAACTTTTAGATTCGAATTTGAATAACTAGGTGAACTTATATAATTAATTAAGAAATTAATCACTAAATGATTTAACGTATTATGAAAAAAAATCTATAAATTAATTATGTAATTTTTATCATGTTACGGATGTTTTTTTGGTACTGTTTGGTACAATTTGTAATAGATATATCGGTCAATCTAGACAAGGTTAATTAGCTTCATGCAAATTCGTAAAAGTAGGTGTTGTCTGTTTAAAAACAACATTATTACATTAATATCAATATTGATTTCATAATACGAAATAAACCAATATAAAGTGCAAAATAACGCACTTATACTACTTGTGAAAGTTTGTTAACATGTCTGTATAATTGTTACTCAATCACACAAAGGATTCGAATGAAATTTGGTATACAGGATAACTATGTTCTAGTATTATATATGTTCTAGGATCAATGTAGAAAGAATTTTATCGTAATTCACTTGGGCAAAGTCAATGCATATATACCAATCACTACAATCAATGTATATATTAAAACTAAATAGATAAATAGCGACCTATTTATATAGAAGCATTTCATCATTTTTAATGACGCAGGTTAATTTTGTGTTCAGAATTTTAGTATAAAAAAACAACATAACAATTAAAAAATATATACAAAATACCTTAATTGTAATATCTTATTTACTAAGCTTGGTAATTTCTTAACTTAAGCAGTATTATATAAAAAAATAAGGTTTAAAAATAAAGTTTTTGTATACGAACTTACGAACGTAGCGGTAGTGCCCTCACCGAATCATGTTTTATTTCTATATATCTTTATTGTAGACATATTAGGTATACTATGATATCTAAACAGTCCTTGTTGCGCGTCGATAGATAGTAATCTAATTTAGAGGAAAGTCACCTAGCTATTCAAATCCTTCGACCCATTAGGCTGACGCCAAAAAATCTATTTATAATTATTAGTACATACATACAAGTACATACATATTACTCTTACTTAAAAGCATTGCTCTTTTCTTTAACATTACGAAAAATTTAGTTCTTTCGAATTTAATACCTGAACTAAGCTTAAATAACGTACATACTTATTTTACTACTACAATAAAATATATAGGCCATGTACATTTTTAAAACATTATTGTGGACTTATTTTTTTTCCATGATAATCTGCACATACATATAAAATAAACCAAGTGAACTTTATGTCAAAATATTGCAATTTAGGTAGAGCATCCATGCATGAATGCAATCTAGTATTCGTGTGTACAATAACCCTCACTTACATACGCGCTATTGCTACGTTTGGTCTGTCGCAATGAAATAACTTAGACAAAAGGTTAGGGTGAACTGTACTCTTTCACTCTGTCTAGTACATTAATATTATTATTCTATTTTATATATTATGTGCATGTAAATTTTAATATGTTGATTTTTTACAAGATCCATCTCAATTCTATCACTATCTTATCTCGCTCGTACATCTAAATGATAAGACAACATCAACCTGAGCATATGTTTATATTTTATCATCGGAAGATTTCTAGTCTTTTCCACGTAGGTATCTACACACAGATATATGGGAACTCATAAAAAGTCAATATATAAATAATTATAAAAATAGTTTGTAAATAATAAAAAATATTTAATCAAAAGAACATATTTACCCACATACCATCATAATGTTTAAATATTTTCAAAAAGGAACAATTTCGATCACTAGTAAATTTAATTTTGAAACTAGAACTTCCATAGAGTAACAAAGAGCATAATTATACAATGTCGTAACGAATCAGACTAATTATCGCAACACTAGAATATTAATTATTATTTCATGTTTAATGATCAGTTATCCAAGCGAACACAATTGACACCATGCAAATGAATGAGGGTACTAGATACAGCCATTTATTTTAGAATACAATGTTACCATAATTAGCGAATCAGTTTTGTTTAAAATTAAAAAGAAATAAATAGTAATAACTAGTAAAATATCAAATCAATAAATGTGACCACAGATAAAATAATTTACCTAATTTATAATACATATTAAACCATAGATAATCTAGGTTACTTATTAAATTATTTTTTAAATGTTATACCCGCATTTGTTAACTTAATTACAATTTAAATCCAAACGGCCTCAAGAAGATAACACGTGCACATTCAACACTGGCCACACATCAGTTCCACAGAAAAAAAAAACATACAAAATTTTCGCGGTTAATTCATTCGAATTTCGAACGGAGGCGCGTTCAAAGTCGAAGTCATGTCGCGGTTAGACGCGTGCTTCGACCGAGATAAACAGCAGGTGACTGCGCGGGCAAGCCGCAAGCACCGGTAGAACCACTGGTGCATTTCCGAACGGTCGCTTCTGAACCGAAGTAGGTAGCGATGTCACGGTATGTCAGAGAGAATAGTCGTAGAAAACCACCGTCGTCACTTACCGTACCGTACTTGCCTTCGATGATCGTTTATTTTTATTTACAGATGCCATTGGAATACGAAACGGTGTTTGTTGAACTAACCTGCAACAAAAAGGAAAGAAGGTCAATAAAAGTTACTTTTATTGTCGAAACTGATTTCGGTTTAACAATGACGATGTAAACTGTACTTAAATGTACTTAATACAATTATTCGTAAAAATTTTAAATATATCTAGATAATGATGACATATTTTTTATTTTGTGAATCCTTTGTAAAATAAAATAAACCCCACAGCTAATACCGTAGTTTAAAGTTTACAAAGTAAAATATAGTTATATAATAATTATCATTAATCCTGAAAAATACTTTTGAAATTACGCAATAATAATTATAAATTTAAATAAATTCTATTATCAATCCTGCACTAGGTATATAATTTAATATGAAAAGCGAATAATTCAAAACAAGTTAGGAATTTTTCTGAATATATTATCACAGACACTATTAAGTATCATTAATAGAAATGACAAAAAAGAAAACCTTTCAATCAAGATAACATTGATAACGAAATTCACGTTAGGCGCGATATTTCGATATCACTTTCTCTCTACATAAAAAAGGTAGGTACTCTAAGAAATGGAAGATAATTTTTTATACGACTTAGAAAAACAATCACTGATTATTTGATTATAATTATTTTGTTTAATTCCGCTACCATTAGTATGTGTGTGACTACCAACACTCATATAATTACTACCAGAAATAATTAATGAGTATTATTGCCAATACATGCATACTAATGATAGCGGAATTAAACAAAACAATTCTAATCAAACCAGTGATATGTTTTTCCGCAAGATAACATCTAGTTCAGTAAAATATTTAGAAATACAGTCTATTATATAATACTTGAAAGAAGTGGCATTCGTCGTTTAAAGATATGAACATCATCAGAGTACACTGTGGTTAATACTCATGGTGCCCCATGTCCATAGCCATGCAAGCGCAGCAACTTGCTGACAGTAACACGAGTGAGATAGAGGTGTGTGAGACATAAGCGACTTTATACAGAATCTAAATTTCCTGTGACTATGATGAACCGTAATAATTACGATATGGACATGCTTTCTATGGGTACATTAAACCTTGAAAACTAGACACAGTCTACATTACTAAATACAACGAGAAATACGGCTTTCCTTTCCTTATTGGCCTATAAATCCGGCATTGTACTAAGAAATCCACTTATTTCATAATGAAGTTCCTCGTAAACAATCTTTCAATTTCTTGTCGCTATTGGCGACTTTTATAATTTACCGCAGCACGACATAGAGCGACACGATTTTATCGTCACCATCCCTTATAATAATTATTGTAAAAATAAATTTGTTTTTTGATTACCTCTCTAGTACTCTTAGTACCTAAATGGCTGAATCAAACGTCATGTTTTGAATTCTCATATTATTTGCGATAAAGAAGACACTTTTTATCCTTGCCGATCAACATATCCCAGTCAATTTTTTTTTTATAGCCCAAAGGCAGCAAACAAGCATACAACCCGTCTGATAGTAAACGGTCACTGTCGCCAATGGACGCTTGCAACACTAGGGGTCTCACGTACGCATTGCCGATCCTGAAGAAATCTTAATATACCATTTTGAAGAATCCTATACAGTAGTCTCTAGGGAAAACATCCGCAGGGAGCTTATTCCACAGCCTGAGCGTTAGCGAGAGAAAATTCCTTAAAAACCGCACTGTACGCGACTATTTAGGCTCAAGCGTGTGAGAACATGGAAGAAGTTGCGGGAATAAACTAGGAGAGGCCAATACTACTACTCTAATTAATATAATTATTTTTATATTTATTAGAATAAATAAATATAGAATATCGCTTAAATATTTTTATTATAATTTTGTATGTTAGCACACTAGATTTATAATATTGATTTGGCTTTTGCTGTTATAATGTTGTAATTATTTTTAATGAATAAATAAATATAGAATACGCTATTAATTTTACTTCAACGATAACGTGCCGCAGACATACGGTGGACATACGACGATATCGGACAAACAAGAAACGTCTTTATATACAATTGCCTGCTCAAACATACACAAAATAGACACACTTTCTCATTTAGAATATTAGTTAAGATATAATTAATATTCAAAACCAAACATGAAGTAGACCACGACAATAATGTGTCGTGTAGATGTCAATCAAATGAACAGAACGCATTCCATTACCTCAGACCGCCCACTTGTAACGACACTCATTCATATACGAGTACACGCTGTCGATGATTAATGCTCGAAAACAGGCGCCAAGTGGAGCGATTATGGTGATCATACGCACTTAGAGTGGATTTATTGAAATGTTTCAACAACTTTAGTCATTGGATGTCATCAGACACCTGTATAGGCACTAAAATAAAACAAAGAATTTCTTTTAAATAATCTTAATTTCCTTACAATAAAAAAAAAGATCATGAATTCGTGATTTTTTTTAATGTAACCCCGCCCGCGTTATTGGTATACATCGACGAGGCACCAGTGGAAGATGATGGGTGAGAATGAATGCAGGTTAGTTGGCCCACCATGATGAATTCGACAAGAATTAAACATGATGTTTTCCAGGGGGAACCGCGTGGAGGTCAACCTGAGAGGGTATATTGCCAGTAATGAGGCTATTAGACTCCATTACTAACAATCCCTTTCCCCCCTAAATTCATGATTAAAGATCCCCATTTTGAGACGAATGTATTAAAGGTAACTCGTAAAGTATACTCATTCATTCATTCATTCATTCAAATGCATTAAACATAATTATACAACATACTATAGTCACAATAGCAAGGTATATTATTATTAGTACCTATTGCCATTGATATTTTTAAAGCTGCAAGTAAAATTTATAAAGCATTTTTATAACCTAAAGAGCGGGGGGAAAGGGATTGCATAATTGATATTTTAACCAAACATGTTAATTATGAAATCTATAAATTCTCATCTATCACCCTTCACTGGTGCTCCGCCAGCGTATCTCGTTAGCGCAGGCCATACCATACCATACCATTTTCACCCATCAAAAAAAAGACTAATAAAGGGCTGCTGAATGGTGTGGAATAAAATTTAACACACATGCAGATCCCGCTCAGCCCATAGAGTAAGATTGCCTTCTATATTTTATATATTTTTTTGTATTATTCTTTAATTAGTACAATACAGAAATAAAGAGTAAATAAATAAAGGAAAATAAATAAAAAAGGCAGATCCACGGATAAAAGCTAGTAAGTTAAATTACGATGACCTCTCTAAGTTTAAATAATTATATATTTTTCCTTGAAATTAATAAATGAACGTTAATTTTCAATCAATCCATCACCGTTTTTAACTGATATTCGTAAATGAGATCTGTGATCATTATCACAAGGAAGTCCATAACCAATCATTACTAACATTATGGACCGAATAGATATGATACGAGTAAAAAAAGCAATCAGCTGTTAGCAGCGGCATCAAATTGTCGGGTGAAAAATTGCCTCGTATGATTGATTGGATTAAATAAATGTACTGACAAACAGACCGCTTTAAATCTGAATGTTTATTATGTATGATTACCGAAAGCTTACATTCAATTTTTTTTATTATGAAAATACTTAATATTTGTATAGCGGCCGTATAATTTAAAGTTGTCAGTGGGATTATTCGTTAACTGTGTTTATAATCATTGGAGATTAATTGGGTTATTAAAATTATAAAAGGCTTGTATAGCTAGTTGTCCCTACTGTCATTGCCTGTACCTTTTAAAGTAACTTTTTTATGGGTATTCATTAACGTATTTAAGATTATTTTCCAAGGGGAGTCTAACCTCTTAAAAATGAACTTTCAACTACTCTCAGACAAATCCTTGAGAAACTTCGTTTGAACCATGGGATGGGCACCAGACAGTCGATCCTTAAATATGCCTAAGTTGGCGTTTATTATAAATAAAAAGGTATCAGACAACCATTAATTACCTATCCTCAATCTGGGATTGTTAGTACTGCGAACTACCAGTCTATTTGCTAGTAATATACGCCGTCAAATTAATCTCCAGATGGACCCCTCCTGGAAACCATCCTGCTGAATTCCAAGTATATTCATCACGATAAGCTAACTGACCTACCTTTTCATTCTCACCTATCATCGTTCACCAGTACCCGCCAGCATATAGGTACCATTAGCGCAGGCGGGATGACTATTCCATTATATCCCATTAAAAAAAATCATCTATCTAAGAAGAACTGGAACACCAATATAATAAAATATTAAACATCCTATATAAAATACAAAATAAATGAAACTTTGTATTTACGAGAATTATATTATAATGAGGATACGATGAAATTTTACACCGTTTTATAAGACCGCGATTCCATGTTATACATAAATAACTAGGTATAATTGGAGCTAGTTATGCAGAAAACGGTCATCTCTTATGAGCATCGTAAATAACGTGGCTATTTTCTGCATAACTAGCTCCAATTATTGTACTATTCTATACTCTAGTCGATATTCTCAAAGTTTGTTCCGCTGAACAATTTGGAGTTCGCGAAGCATATTCGAAAGATGTGCAAAAGCGTCTCTTATAATATCTTCAAATTCTAACTACGGTTGCCCAACCGCCTGCCAAGCATGACAACTACTACCAAATCAACTATGGAGGAGGCTTATATTCAGCAGTGGACAGTTAACGGCTGATATGATAATGATGATGATGAAGCATCTATGAGGGATCCGTTGTAATAAGTCAAACAAGTAGTTTTGCAATAAAAATGGTGAATTAATGCGTAATTATTATTATTGATTATTATTAACTATTATTGACAAATCATACTATAAAGAGCATTTATAAAGGATATTTCGTAGACATATTAGATTAAAAATATTTGAACTCAAATTTTGTACCCCATAAAAAATATTATCGTCACAAAATTTAATTGTCACAAAATTAAATGTTTTATTATATCTGTGTACAATAAAGAAAGGAAGAAAATTAATATGTTAATTAATTATATGTACAAAGAATCTCGTAACAGGTTCCGTATGGGCAAATATAACACATAAAATATAGGCGAATCGCAAAATCTTCTCCTTTTTAAAGCCATTTAAAAAGACATTTTTAAACAAAAGCGTCACACATAGTAATTATGAGACATGCAGCAGCGATCTAAGTGTCCAGTTTCAAATGTAATCACAAATGGTGATTATAGGAAAACCACTTTTATCAATAGAATGATTAATTCGTCTAGGCCGAGCTCGGTCGACCTTCTAATACATATCTACGAAACAAAGGTTGTGTTTCTCACAGCTCGCTGTAGCTAGATAATATTTCCGTTACATTAACAGCGACACGGTTAAACCATTACTTGAGTTATGTATATCTATGGTCAGTTAATTGTTAATGGAAATGCTTTTATGTATAAACAATATAAATAACTAATTCACTAAAGAAGAAACTGTCGTCACGGGTCACGACTTTCAAAACCGATAGATCATGAGTTCTAATATAGTGGTCGATAACAAACACTCCGTATTTATTTAAACTCTCCGGTGATAGAAAACAGCGTTAACAAACTAAATTATTCTGTTAGTAGTAGCTGACTCACTCACTGTCACGTTGAATTAAAATATTCAACACTACGGTGACAATTATTAAAAACCTTAATAATCAGAGGGCCTACCATGAAATGTTTTTCGAAATTTCGAAGCCGAACGAAACACAAATTTGATGTTAAAATTACATAATACTTACCGTTTAAAAACATTAAAAATATTAAAACATTATTCCTTTGGACTTTTATGGTAGAATTTGTGACGAACGAAATGTTAAGCTCCATTTACTGGGCCGTATTAGATATGAAAGAAAACACGAAATTGAGTCCGAAACTTCGGAATTTCATTTCATGGTAGGCCCCCAGGAATCAGTCGTGACTTCTCGAATATATTTATTTATATTTTAAAGAAATTATAAACGACAATTTTATAAAGTTGTAACAGATTAATAAGGCACATTCTCGTATTTCTCTTAGTCGATAAATATGCAGATTTTACTATACATATTAATTATTTCAGAACATTGAGTACTTGCATACAATACGCTTATGAGGAGAAACGTTACCAGTTCGCTAGAGAAGAACAATAACCATCGGCGAAGGTCGGCTACGGCACAGGTAACTGCATCTTAAGAAGAAAGGGAAAACGCATTTCCTTCCGAATTCAAATTCAAATTATCTTTATTCAAATAGACTTGTTAATAAGCACTTTTAAATCGTCATTCCCTTTTAAATCTTTGTTAACATTATGTGTATTTATTTAAATGTACAACTATACTTTTTCTTAATATTAAAACGTAATTCAATAATATTGTGATTTTGTTTGTTGAAGAAGTTTGTTGAAACTCATAATAAATAGTTTTTGAATGAGTGAATGAGATAAAAAAATATTTGACATAAGTACAGTACTCGTATATCCCTCCTTGTGGTTACGGCTTAGATATAATAATTGGAGCTACTTACGAAATTGGACATCGCATAAGATATGGCGTTTTTCAGCATAACTAGCTCTAATTAGACATACTTACATAATATGTCTGATTAAGAGTCATAATTACAGGGGAGAAGGGAATTGTTAATAATGGGGATTGGCAGTCCCATTGCTGGCAATATACTCTATCAGGTCGACCTCCACGTGGTTCCCCCTGGAAACCATCTTAATACATTCTGTATAAATTCGCCATTATGGTCAAACTGACTTGTTTCACCCTTACCTATCATCTCTCTCTGGTGGCCCGCTAGTGTATACCGATAGCGTAGGCGGAGTTACCATTCCATTATCACCCATTAAAAAACACAACATAATTTATATGTGCATAACCATCATATATTTATATATTTAAAAAGCCAACAAAGTAACGGAAGTACCACCACACATAATGATCTAGATTCCACTTAGCTCAAAGTGCTCACGATTATCGATTCACTTTCTCTCTAAGTATCTGACTCTGTAATCATTCCATCATATTCCTAGTACCAATAAATCATATATGCACCTACATGTTATAATCGTTTCACGGATAGACATTAAAAACAAAAAATAATGTATCAAGATAACACGCTAATTGAAAACGTTCAATATAGTTGCCACGAGCCATAAATTTGTTATGCAATAAGTATTGAAATTTACGCTATAGCTTTACTTGTTAGTCAAAATGATAAAGTATACTAATTGTAAACTGACGTGAATTAGACTAAATATTATCCTGTGTGATCCAGAATACTGTCTACTAGCCAAATTTAAATCTGTGCAGGAATTTAAGCGATAAAATACAAAAAAAAACATCCAAATATCTTTACATACCTAACAAAATATTTTTCAGAATTTAATATCTTTATAAAATAGAAGTTTAATAGAAAAAAATATGTATTTTATAATTTTTATCGAAATTCCTATGATAAAAACTACCTATCGGATCCATGATGAGGCTAGGCTTAGTATGTAATCAAATCTCTCTAAATACATTTTACCTATATTCTAATGTTCTTTTCATATGTATAATTATACTTTTTGATTTCATTTTTCTTTTCTGCGTTACAAAAGTGTAACCTAGAAAAAAATTTTGAACTCAAAAGGATAAAAATAAAAAGGCTTTTATATACCTGTAGTAACATTTTATTATTGACGTAAGCAATTAATAACTATAATTTACATGCAATCGCATACATCCTTGAAAACTTTTTTAACCGCATTTCTACGAAATTCTTTATGGCAATTTTAAATAATACCTAGTTGCGGATAGTTTGTGTAACACAAAATTGTTCGGATAATTTTGTAAACTGTTTACACAATATTTGATTGTTTTAAATATAATGTTAATAATTTTGTGACGATATTTAAATAATTGTCTGAAGGTTCGAGAGACTATATATAATATAGTTTCTGTGTGGGATTAAATCTGACTGACACCAAAACTTTGAAGCAACTTTTGAACATGTTGATCCCTCTATGGTCGGCAAAATATTGGCAATTTTGTTTATTACCTCTCAGTGCCTTATAAGCACTCGTTACTAATATTATTAATCTTTTTAATTATGCAACTTAGAATAGCAAACACGCTGACAGCCCAACTGATGAAAAGTGGAAACCGTCGCCTATAGACATAAGCACTTTCATGAACAGAACAAAGACTACTGTTTCGCCCATGCGTTGCCATTCCTGAGGGCTCAGGTGTTATTCCTCTGTACCCTGTAAATTCACTGTCATATCTCACCCTTTAAACCGAAACACATACTATGCAAATACAACTGCTTCACAGTAGAAACACGAATGGGACAGAGGTGCCCAAGCAGACGACTTTTATACAAAGTCTCCCTCTGGTAACTAAACTAAACTTTCATACTAATATTATAAAAGTGAAAGTGAATTCATTTGTTTGTTAGCTTTTGACACATTAATTCAACGATTCAACCTACTGTTTGAGATACAAAAGGACCCTAGTCACGCAGTACAACTATTAGTTTACTATTTATTTACTATACAGTAGATTATTGGTCCATAACCAATAAAAGATACACAATATTAAAGAGTTCCAAAAAAAGAATATCATGAAACAAAAAGGGAATAAATCATAAGAATGTAACTGGCAGTAAATATTTTAAAACAATTTTGTAAACAAACTTTATTGTATATAATATCATCATTATCACAATCACTATTTGCGGTTGTAACTGAAATAAAACCTAATCAAATAATATTAAACCTTAAAGCTTATAAATTAAGAACAATTTTCCTTACGCAATATGAAAATATAGTGCTTAACATTTCAAGTCAATAATTTCACCGTGGCCCAACACCATAGCATAGATAACCACAAAAGGCGTGGCCGTGATTTCGACACCACAATTATTATGATGGCACGTTATCGACATAGATTTTAAACACTACTGGAAAAGATACTTTCTTTCGATATTACAATCATACAAAATAGAGTTAAAAATATGGAAATTCGAAGATAAATAAATAAATTTTGATTAGTTACGTCAAATCAATAAGGAGCAAAATTCATAACAAAAATAAATCCTTCACAATAAATAAAAATTATAAATAATAATAATAAAATAAAAATAATAAAAATTATTGTCACTTGATGCATGCACATGATGATATGTGCTTTTTAGCTCGTCATCCTATAAACCACGTCAATTTCAATCGTTTCAGACATAGAAATATTCACAGAAATAGTAATAGCAGTATTAAATAGTTAAATCTGTAATTAAATACTTAAATTAATCCCACAAACTAGTTACTCAAAATAGTCAATGACTATTGAACTCTTGGAGTCATTAGGGAATGCAATATAGTTTCTTCCACCATTATTTTTGCGTGTCGTTTCGTGTACACGACTGCCGCTTCCACATACTTTAATTGCGTGATCAAAATGATGGCACGGTGCATTAACGTGGGTGCAGTATGGCGTGAAACCCATGGGTGCATGGTTAACCTAATTGATGGTTATAATTTATGGATGGCACGTAACCTTTTTGTTGGGTCCGACAATTTGTATGTAAAGGACGAGCTTAAATACTGAGGAAAACTCAAAACTATTAGAAACTACGACAGCTGGAGGTCACTGTGCATTATAGAACCATTAGTCTGTTCAAGGAAAGCTTCTATTGAAAGACATAGTAATTATCGCTGCTAATAGAATGCTACAAGATAAGCATTAAGACTAAACTTTAACACAAGCAACATGACAGATTTATAAGATCTATTTTAAAAAAATAGAAATAGAAACATGTATTAACAGAAGAATAATAAGAAAAAAAATAGTATAAATAAAACCTCTAGCTAGCGTAATATAAATAAATGTTTGAAACATAATAATTAATATTTATCTGAATTGGAAACAAATGACACGGGTTGGATCAGAACATATTTCCGGGCTCTACTATAGTTACAACAAATTTTTAAAATAATAAATTTGTTACAACTTCAAAACGAAAATATTCTAAATACAGTCAACTAATTCGAACGTCAGCTCTTTCAGTCGAATGTCTTAAACGAATCCACAGATTTCTTCCGCGTTCTATTTTAGGAGTGGAAATAAATAAAGAATGCAGTTTTCTAATACGGGGGGACAGCTGCAGATGGGAATACAACATGACTGAGACTAAATGGATGCAGCGACATATTAAACTAACTCTTGAGCGATTAAACAGATTCTTCGGGATATCAAATACAAAGCGGGAAAATACTTAAGTAAATGACATTGATTGCCTGAGAATAATGTGTAACTATAATGAGAAGCGCTCTAAAATTAATTTGAGAATTTACACCAAAAAAAAAAAAACGCTAAGGCTTCGTAATCTCACATAATACACATATTGATAGAAACAAGAATATGAAACCATATCTATAAATACAATAAATTAAATGAATATTAGTAATCTAATACAACTATCTATGAAATGTCTGTGTCGGTAATATCGATAAGTATCATAAAAGATCTAACTACTTTATAAAGTAATCATTAAAATTATTGAAATTAACTTTTTTTTTTTGTACATTCGTCCTTCGAAGGACTGATATTGAGCATTTTTCTTTCTTAATTAAAAGCATATATATAAAAACCAATATAGTTATACAGATATAATTAAAGTGTAGAAGTAAACATCAAATCTACTTAACATGCCTATTTGTTATATTTTGTATAAACATCATTTAACTCATAACATGATACTAAGATTATTACTTTGTAAAGAGGTTTATCAATCATAAATAATTACAATTACCTTAACGCCATGCATTATATTATACATACATCAATTTAAGTTTCGTGCATGAATGAGATTTTATTAAGACATCATTCTTTTTTAGTTGATTATAATGTCCATACATAAAATTAAAGTTACTACTGTATGTAAAGGTAATGATACTTTTACAGACATAGATAGAGATAAGCGCTTCAACTGATATAAAAACTTCTCCACCTTATTCATAAAATTTGCAAAACCTCCTATGAACCTACTTTTACTATTTCACTGTTTTGTCATTATCAGTCAAACTGTCTATAGGCTCATGTCTATAGGCGACGGTTACCACTTTCCATCAGGTGGGCTGTCAGCTTGTTTGCCATTCTAAGTTGTATAAAAAAAAAACAGAATTTATCACAAAAGAAGAGACAAAACAGTTCAATAGCTAAAATAGGTTTATGACAGATTTGAAGTTTTTTGAATAAGAATATAAGCATGTTACTAATAAAATATTTTCCCTGATATTATAAATGATATTTCTTGGTAGCAACCCCGTTGATCATTAAAATGTCGGTAAAACTGTCTTCTAAATCCTTCTCCATATAAATTTCAT